CGCTAACGTCCTGAAATTCTACACAGCTACATATGTTATCAATACCGTAGTTATGGCGAAAAGTGATAATTATTGGAAAGGCTGGATCGATATACATTTACGTAAACGCGCAAGTATCACTCGATTGGGAACCATTTTCTCCTAGATTTATAAATCCCATTGAACTATTGTAACTTTGTCTTTAATTTTCAGTAAGGTAAAATTTTTGTGAAAATTTTGAAGAATTTTTTTAAGTTTTTCACAAAGAATGGAGCTTTGCTTTTACGAGTTTCGCTATAAACTGTCCTATCTACATACCTATTTGCATAAAATGATAGCCGTTTTCGTTGTTCGGAATAAACTCAAAAAACACTGAATAGAGTTCCGTCAGATTGGCGGAGGTTATCTTACATACGTATATAGTCCAATTACATGCTACTATAAAACTCGCTAGGTGGTGTTGGAGTAGAGTTATTTATAAAAATCGTATTTATTAACCGATTGCGTTCAAATTTTAAATGTGAGCTATGTACCTGTTACAGACTAATTTTGTTTTTAAGCGCTCTTTTGCATTGGCTAACGCAAAAGCTCTTATTAGGCGCCGCGAAGTAAGCGGGCATTGGCTAGTTAGATAATAAAAAGTATCATAAGCACTATAGCACCGATTTTATTAAATATTTTTTTTATAAATTTAATATTCGGTTTTAAAACTTTCGGTTATCTACAAAATGTTTTTTTTTAATATCCTCAAAAAACCGAACACCCTAGTAAATACAAATAAATTCCAAGCTTATTCTACTCGATCACGCGTAAAATAAATTATTTGAAATGTCAAAAATATGAAAGATTACCCAGCCATTAAACCTATATTTGCATTTGCAGCTTTCTATCTTCTCTGGAATCGTATGCCTTTGCCACTATTTATCTTCATAACAAGTGAATGCACTTGCAATCAGCGCAGCACATTTATTTTCGTTTTTCAAAGATGTATGTGCACAATACTTGCTCCATGCTACTTGCTAAATATTTATATTTCCCTCTTTTTTTTTGCACATTACTCACTGCATTTCTTTGCTGATAATCACTTGTTCTATTTTTTCTTCTTTCTTGCAGACATTTACACTTGTTGCAGTGAAGTATTTGGCTCATGTCGTACATCATGCGAAAATGTAAGTTCATAAATTTTATTTTTATTCACATGTGTTGGTGTATAATATTTATTTTGCCTACTAGTATATTGCTTAAGCCCACTACAGAGGCACACTTGTCATGTTTTTTGACAGTTAACGGTATATTGTCGTCATATCACATCGTTCAAATGTAAGAGCGTTAAACAGCTGAACAGTTTGAGAAGAATTTGGAAGCTTTGATTTGCCTGCTGTTTTAAATTGATTAGTTCTTTCATATATTTGTATGTAGTTTAAGTTAGGTTCAAGTGACAGCTGGTATTACTACAAGCCCACATTTGTCTTTTTGAGTAGACCTGATTTCGGTGCAATGGAAAGTGCTGGGTCACGAAATAATTTTACGGCTTTTTTGTTCCTGCATACATTTATGTTGCAGCTTGCTGATCACCATTGTCCGCAACATGTCCTCGATGAACGTCTTCGAAAGCTGACGCATGACATACACCAACGCAAATTAAATACTTGTAAATTTCAAACCACTTGAATGCTGATGCTTGCCATATATGTACGAAAATATTGTAAAAAACTATAACAATACTTGAGTTTACTCAAACCGGATACTCGTAAAACTTCGCCTTTAGCATGAGAGCCATTAATGTCAAACGATCTTTTTCGCGCACCTACTAATGTATAGACAATGTTCATTTTCAATCTGGTATAGAATGCGTGCCCATTAGGGCTGTTTGACAGAAGGAAATCAAGGTTAGATGGACCAAAAAACAAAAATAAGGGTTTGACTACAGGTATTCGAAATGACACTCTTACTGGATTGATAAAAAAAATAACGGCTAAGGGTTAAAAATAAGCCAAAAATTCTTTTCCATTTCCTGAAGAGGACAAATTCATTAAATTAGCCTGGATGTACTAGTGCGTTGGGTTTGGAATACGGCAAGTAAAAATTATTTAAAATGAAAGCGTCGGATAAACGAAAAAGACTTGGATTTCAGCGAGCCCGAAAGAACAGTTGGTTCAACGAGGAATACCATGCCACTGCCAGGAAAAATATGCCGTTTTCGATGAAACTTCAACCTAACCATCTAACCTAATGTACATTTCTACCTCCGTATAAATATAAAAAAATTATGTTGCACATTAACGCACCTAACTAGCAAATAGCTTTGCAAATTTTATGACCTGTTCAGCCCACTCGAAAAAATTGTTTTTATTAAAGCATCACAAAATGTAGCCACATGCATATGAGCAGTATAAAAATCCACCTAACCAAACTCTAAATACAAAAAAGACACTTAATGACTGACAAGTTTATTAAAATGTTATCCTTATCGCTATTGAGCTGTCATTTAGACATTGTGGGCATAATCAAATACCAAATGTAAACTATGCGAAATTTGCATTTTTAAATTGCCACGACAACCCACACAGATGGGCACATACATACATACATTCTCACGTCCCCATACATTGCTGAGTATCATATTTAAGAGGTTTTACCAGCGTTTTTGCCGTTTTTTTTTTTTGCAATTACTGGCATATTATATGGGAAAAGCTGGATTTTGCGTGGGGGTGTTGCATGTCAAATTCTTCTATTTTTTTTTGCCACAAAATAGCTTCTTTCACCCATGTGTGGTGTGTGTGTGTGTGTGCATGAATATATGACAAAGCCATTATTTAGTTGTGCTTTCTGCCATCAAATTAAGAGGCTGGCCATGTGTAAATGCAAACGCCCAGTTTGACTAAATAATTTGTTGTTACTTAATTGACGTTTACGTGATAAAATGCGTGTCTTGCATTCACCGAGTCATCATCCTCGCCGACTTCCTTAGGCTTTTTGTAGTTGCAGTACAGGTTTATGTTCATATCACTAGCATACATTATTAGTATTTTTCAGACTTTCTCATTGCATTGGATGCTGTTGGGGGTTGCCGGTTTGGCCTTAATAGATATGAATTTATGTGCATACTTACTTAATTAAATATTCATGCATAAATATGTACTTAGGTGTCTAGTGATTTTTATGTTTTGCATGGTGTAAGGTAATATTATTTAATGGGGATATTTGCCTTAATCTGCAGAAAGTCAAGTTGAGTAAAGCGCATGCGCAACACATATAACTACAATGTGTAGAAATTATGTACCATATCATAAAGGTTAGGTAATGCATTTACATACAAACATATGCTTGCTTATTTTTACTTGTGATAAAAAAGAGAAAAAATTTTTGAGGGGTTGCCACCTGTTGAATATGTTAAAATCGGTTAATTAATAACTTCAATAAAATATTAAAACAATGTGGGTGTCTTAGGAAAGGAGTTCAAAAACGAGTTATTGCGAAAATGTTTTTCAAAAGGTTTAACATCTGTTCAAAAAGTTAAAATCAATTTAATTAATAAGCTTAACGAAATATTTTAATTTGAGTATCAAACGATGGAGCTTTAAGAAAGTTTTATATCAAACATATTTTTAAAGGTGGCTGCCACCTAATAAGAAATTCAAAATCAATTTAATTAACAAATAAAATGAAATATTTTAATCTGGGTGTCAAACGAAAGAAGGCTGCATCTATTTCGAAAATAAATTTGTCGATGGTTGCCACCAGCTTAGGAATTCAAAATCAATTTTATTGGCAAGTTAAATGAAATCCTACTAATATTATAAATGTGAAAGTTTCTTTGGCATACAGACAGCTTATGACCTGTATTAACATGTAGCATATTTTTTTGAAGAGGCTTGCCATCTGCTGGAAAAGTTAAGTTTTATATTAAATTATAATTACTGGATCCCGACAGAGGGAGCAGACGGAATGCTATTGATCGCTGGGTATTAGGCACCTTATATCTTCTGGTGAAGAGAACGAGTTCCGTATTTACATAATTAATAGCAACTTCGCAGCTATTTAGCAGATGAGATCGTACAGAGTGTGGGAGGTATAAAAACTATGTAGAACCATGGACGAAACGGTTGGTAGTTTGTCTTGCATTAGAATATGCCGTGCGAGATCTGGTATCATCCGTGTTGTAAACCAAGAAGTTAGTTAATCGAGCTCCATAAGTAACACCCTAATAAAGCCTACTTACGTGTTTGGTTGCAAAGAGCTACATACGAGCACACAATATTTCTAATTATGCACTGTTAAATGCAAGATTAAACTTCCGAGGAAATTAATCTAAAAACTAACAAGATGGTGGGAATAAAGGAGATATCAAAAAATGTCCGGTTTGTTATTCTTATGACTCCTGTTGACAGTTTAAAATGCTGTCATTTGGTGCTAAATATTTATCTCACCAATATCTTAAACCAGTCTCTACATTTCGTGCAGTCGATCATAAATTCTACTGAAAAGTAATTTAGCTGACCATAAACTGACATAGAAATTTGCGCATGCACCATGAGCGTTGATTTATTTACCTATCAGTGAGCGGTAGCGCAATTAGTGTAGTACAAGTAAACTCGGTGAACGAACGAACGACTAACCAGCTGTACGATCGATCATTCAAAGATGCAAAAATATGCATACAAATACGATTTACATACAGTCAGCGCCAAAAATATGCATACCTTAACGTTTTGGCGATTTTAGTTATTTATTTATATTTTCCATACCAAATTTTTCTTATTTTTTATAAAGATATAGTTCAGTAAACAGCAAAAACCACAAGAATCAATTTCTTGAATTTCAAACAGAATTTGGCGAAAATGGAAGAAATAGCATGAAATTTAAAATTTTTCAATTCTATTTTTTAGAAAAAATTTGGGTATGCAGTTTCGAAGCCCATTAAATTTTAGTATAAAGTGCAAGTTTCAAGTCGCTAAAAATTACCGTTTATTTGAGAAATTTTTTTTGACGGTTTTGCGTTCCTTCTTTCATATACAAAAATTATGTTCTTACTTTATGTGGAAGCAAATGCTCAACACCATCAGCAAAAAAATTACCAAAAATCAACAATAGTTTTTAGCGAATTGAAACTTGCACTTTTTAATACTAAAATCTAATAGGCCACAAAAATGCATGCTAAAAATTTTTCTAAGAAATCGAATTGAAAAATGGAAAATTTCGATGAAAAATTCTTGCATTTTTCTGTATGAAGAAAAAAATGATTCTTGTGGTTTTGGCTGTTGAATCAACTTTAGTAAAAAAAATTGCTATGGAAACTATAAATAAATAAAATCGTCAAAACGTCCACGTACGCATATTTTTGACGTTCACTGTATGTCTACATAAACATAAGTATTCATAATAGGTTCCAGCTTTGCAGACATTTTAGTGGTTAAACAAGGATATTGGGTCATTTATTTAAACAAAAAAAATTAAGCTCATCGATCACAATGAACCAGTTTCGCGAATGAATGTAATGGATTTACGGTACGAAAAATTATGGAATACAGTTGTTGCCAAAGCGGCTGATGCTGTTTTTTCTTCTTTTTCTTCTATAAGCCAATCAATAAAAATAAACAGTTCGAAATAAGTTTTTGTTTTGCAAAATTTTTTATTTTAAAACTAACAAAAGTGTGCATAAAATCCTATCTAAAAAAAATAAAATTCCGCACTCGTAACTCCAACGAAAGGTTCCTAAAAATATCTTGCGTTCTCTTCACGGTTGAATCTAAGCACCCGTGGTAACCAAGATTTATAGCTGGCCTGCAACTTTCCTCAAAACTTTTGTGAATTTTTGTGTTGTTAGCAACAACAAATAACCTTAATTAAAATTGCCTCCGCCACCTTCAATCCGTTCCTTATCCTTAGAAGAGAATTATAACAAAATAATAAATACAACATGCTAAAAGCCTCAAACACGGTAGAATCCGTTGCTTTCAATTAACAAATCCGTTGATTAAATACTTGCCGTTGATATTCGTCCATATGCATACTTATTTACTATCTTCCTCTTCCAACGATCTTAGCTTTACTTTCCGGTTAAAGATCATAAATTGCATGTCTCTGTTCATTGGTTTTTGCATCAATCATAAGCATGTATAAAACAAAAATAAAAAAAAACGTCGTTGTTTATACCTCTTGGCACTTA